GTTTATTTATCAGTTCATAGGCAACCTTTTAATCATATCAGTACAATTTAAACTTTAAATTATCCGGGTTTACCGGAGTCGTGAGTTTTACGAAATTTGGCTGCAATAACTGACGACCTCAAAAAGAAATTGGCCTATGATTGTATAATCATTTGCTCTACTTGTTACATCTACTAACAAAAATGTTGCTATCACCAATTGACAACAGCAATAACAGTACGAAAGCCACCTTAAAAGACACTCCCACTTTAGAAATAAATAATGGTTTTGAATTTTTATGCAATTTATTTGTATTACCAAAAAAACTGCAGAAAATAAAAAACTACTTTAGAATGTGTATAAATTGTCATTGGTATCTATAGCAAGGGTAACACATTATTTTGCAAACGCGGTTTATGTTTTGCTGAACATTTTTGTGGAATTTTAGGATTTATTGTTAGTGTTTTATTTAGTTTCAGTTCTACTTATGGATTCCCGGTCAAGTGAGCATAAAATAAATTCAATTTACCTATTAGTAACTATTAGCTGTGCACCCGTCGGCATTTTTATCAATTTGTGAATCAATCTTATCGTCGTTCCGGACTTTCTTTACAGGCCTTTTTAAAATCAAAAACTGCCGCCAAGCGAATGTTATTCCAAATGTCATTTAAATTAAATGCTACGCCTTTCTATAAGTAAGGAAAGTTTCACATATCCCAGTAACTAGAACATCCCACAACTACGTATTTATTTCTTCTTTTGCCCTTCTTTTTTTTTCCGCTTCTGTTTCTAATCTTTTAGATTTTAGAAGGTGTGCTACTATTTTATCCCTCAGCTTCTGTATTAACTTCTCTGTTCTGCTTCCTTTCTTAATACTTCGACATTTCTAACTTTTTCTCCATATATAATTATTATTACATTTTTATACCTTTTCATTTTGACGTATGACCCTAATTAATGATTGCTTAAATAACAAAACAGAGTCATCACAATCTTTTTCGAGATGTAAGCAACAGACAAAGGCAAGCAGGTAATTCCGATTGACACGTATATGTTTAGATTACATGTTAGTAATTCACGCTTCCGAAAATTTCGAACTCACAACCATTGTACAACTATTTAAGGATTTACTTTCTCTTAACTCTTGTAATGAATGTACCACGATTGTATAATCTACACTTAATAAGTTATTCACGTTGGGTTGTCTTGTAGTTCCTTCATCCAAAATTTATAATAATTATTATCCGAATTTAGCAGAAGGATAGACGTACCCAGAGATCATGACCGTCAAAGGTCGAGGCTGCATTCACATGAACAGACAACTATTATAAAAGAAAGTCATTTTCTCTTAAAAAAAAGGACATCAAATGCTTTCGCTTATACAAGTCAAATATTATAAACAATAATCTATCCATTAAACCTGTTTATCGTCACGTAATATTAACACACAAAAGTCAATGCCTTTCAGGATATTAATTAATGTACATCAGCATATATAATTAAGTATTTAGTATATTTCCGGCATCAGTTTCATTCTATGTAAAGAATGACAAGAAAATAATTAGCATCACATTGTAACATTGCAAAGTTTACGTGTTCATGACTGCACCACCATATACTAATTAATTATTCATCATTAAATTAAATTACTCATTATCTTACCACGCCACGACAAAAAGAGCTATTTAAATGATTACTTGACAATCAGAATATTTCACTTAAAAAGGGCAATCTTCAAGGGAACATGCTTTTCCATATACCTAATAGTAACGTTATCTCCAGGGGTCACAATGACTCGTGATCTAATATAAAAGCAGTTACTACTATTGGGAGTAGTCTTTATCTTCTTCATTTTCGATTTTTATTTAATAGTTTCAAAAATAAAAATAGCATGAGGGCTTTTTGGAATAAACAGTGAAACGCGGTACGAATTTTTTTTATTTAAATATTTCCAAAATCCCTGAGGAGTCGTCAAGAAACGGAAAACTCGTTCAATATTATAAATAATTACTTATATATAAAATTAAACCCTCACTATTTTTTAAAAAGGAACTTAGTTTTAAAAAACTTATTTGTAACATTTTAGTGATTCCTTCAAAATCAAGATAATTTGTGTAGGGTAATATAAGAAAAATTTTAGGAAATACGGACTAATAGCACATGCCCCGCTCTAAATATTGTAAAATAGATAATTACTTCAATAATTTATTCAATTTGGACAATATGGTGCCATCTATCAATATTTGGTGTTAACTGATGTATTTCAAATGCTGGACAAGAGCCTAGTTCAACTCATAATAGTATAAACACGCGAAAGGCTAGGAAACTAGACGTGCTGATGATATCTAGTAAGATCAGAATATCAGTCTACATATTGTTGTTATTACTGACCAAGAATTCAATCATTTTTTTAAAAATTTAATAAGAAAATTACGCTTTCTATTAACATTCTTTACTCATTTATTTCACCCAGTAATAACTTCTTTAAGTTTAAATGTCAAATTTTTAATAATTGCTAACTGTATTTGCGAAAAGAATGTACAAGATAAATTATAGATAATAAACACATACGTGTACAGGAGGATTATAGCTCAATAAAAAATTCAGGAAGTGATAGCTATAATTTTATTGGCGAAAGTAATGCCAGCTACGCTTATGATTGTAAGAAAAAGCAGCCAGCAGATATGAGTTAGCTCCTAATTTAGACGACAATGAATATATTGACGATAACATTTGGACTAAGTACCCCTTCTTAATTAAAAAAAGAAGTAATAAAGTCATCGGCACACAATTTATTGAAAGTTTTTCTTTACTGCGCTTAGATGATAGCTTTCTAAACCACTGGTCATCTGATTACCACTACATTTCACAATCTTCCTGTTAAACCATATACTTAAAACTTCATGTTTTTGTTAAGCACAGTGAACCATTAAAAACATATAATAAAAGGACATTTACTTTTTGCTATGTTCCTACAAAATGTTACTGCACAACAGCAAGTTTATGCAATTGTCATGTAACATCTTCATCAAGCAATATCCATTGTTTCAGTTAATTTGTTACAGTACATCAAGAAGTACAGTTAAACTTGTTCTTTTTTTTCATTAAACGTGTCTACACGATACTTTGCTAAAATTAGCATGGAATTATTGTTGCTTTTATTGTTAGAACAACTTTTTACACAATCCTTGTGTTTCCCTACAGGACAAACTATAGGAAATAATTTGCAGGTATTTCATAGTTTTTATGTCACAATTAAACTAGTGTAACCGTGTTGCTAATTTTTAGTTTTTACTGCAGTGAATCGATCATTTTATTATCAGGAAACATAGTGACATATATGTTATGCTTTTACTTTTAAATCAGCATAGGTGTCTCAGAGTTGGAGCATTTACATAATTATAATAAAAAACTTGTTTGCATTAACTGCTAGTATGCCTTCTCAGTGCATTTCAAAATAATTTATTTCTGCCAATATTAACTGCATTTATTCTCAACAATTAGAAATAGTTTTACGCGGTGAAGTCGCTAATTGTTAATAAATTTGAATAGTTAATATTTGTACTTTAGTCAAATTACTGTTAAAAAACGGACAGACAGACACACGAGTGCTCCTATAAGAGTTCCATATTTCATTCGGGAGTACGGAACCCTAACCAACTTAACATTGTAGTTGAAAAAGAAACATGTTCTCTCATACATCCAAACTGTAAATGTAAATTTGTACAGATAATATTGTTTTATTGACAGATTTACTACGTTATCTTCAAACATATACATCCTATTAATTTTCCTGTGATCTATAAATCAAGAATTATTATCTTTTTTTTTTCATTTGTATTGTAGGTTCAGTAGTTTCGGAGATAAACAGGGAAATTAGTCAATTCGATATGTAAGACGATACAGTTTCCAAAACTTTTTTTCAATTTCCTATTCACTCGCAAAAATAACTTCCATGTTCAAAATTAATTTATTTATGTTATGCGTTCGTGTTTGTTCATATGTGTACCAAATTTCAACTTAATCGGTCCAGTAGATTAAGAGCAAATTGACTATGACATACCGACAGACAGACATACGAGTGATCCTATAAGAGACTGAGGCAATAAATATTTACTGCTCTTTGGATTCTTGCATCACTACCACCTGTAAAAGAGTGTAGTATAAATTCTTTAAAATAATTTTCAAATTATAAAATGTCAACAACTTTCGGTGCTTAAAGATGAATTATCCTTCAAACTCCACAAGCAACACATCCAGTCGAATTTGTAATGTTTAAATGTATTAATATTGTAGGTATATACTCTCTTTTTTTCTGTATTTTAAGCTTTCTCCCATGGACGCACTCGGTATAAAGAAAAATATTTCAGAGCTTAGTGAAAATGAAATAAATACATCAGATCAGTTAACTGTCGTTTGGAATGCAACAAAAAATTGTACAAATACAAAAGCTTCACGAAAATCATATGATAAAAGCAATGACGTCGAAGAAATTGATGTGAAGAATAATGGCACAACTAAAACACAAAAGCAAGAAGACGATGACGACGAATTTGATGATTCAGGCGATGGAGGAGGCCAAAACTTTGTTACAATGCTAATTTCAACTTTTCTTGGAAGTCTAAGTACTGTAAGTTTATTATTTGTAAAAAAGTAGCGATTAATGTTTAAAATCTCGGTTTATTATTTTCTACAGCCTGAAGGTGGAGTTGATGTGGATGCTTTGGTTGCTTTAATTGGAACTCTGAGTGTTGTAAGTAAACATTAAGTTTCTGTAACATAATTTATTTAACATTCAGTCGTTTGTCTACATCTAGATGAGGGATGACGGAACATACGATTTTACCGGTTTGCAAACCACTCTTATGAATTTCCTTGGGGTAAGTGCAATACGTATAGGTACTTACTGTAACACCAAAATAATTTTTAGCTGTTTTTAAACCCATATGGCTATTGTTTCATTAAATAAATAAACCTTCCATTACTAGAAATAGATAATTTTACTTAATGAACAGATCAAAGCGCTGTAACAATTAGGTATCAATAAGCAGAAGGCTATTAAATTATTAGTTACTGTTACTTCTTAAATAATTGACGTAGATGTCGTAAACGTAACTATTATTACTTGGTTCAACGGTAATAATTGTACCCAACCGTGTCACAATGAATTTATAGATAATCGGCGCTATATCCAAGAACAAGTGTACACTTTTCAATAATTACCATATTCATTTTTTTATACGTTTATTAAGTTCCTTGCAACAAATCTAAATGCAGGCGCAGATATGTGTACATTAGGTGTATACGTATGCAAATCACACCTTTTGCATTTTCTGTGGGAAAGATATTGCAGTTTTAGTCATTACAGGATTAAAAACATTCAAGTTGCAAAGTAAAGCAGCAAAGATCATTGTCATTTTAAATGGCTATCAAGATAAACTCTCAAATCTTTAATTGCTACATGATTTCATTAAAAAAAAAGCAGCTTTTAGACAGAGCTGCACCGAGCTTTACTCCGAAAGCTTTTCGGGCTTGAAAATACTGTAAGTAGTTGACGCTTGCTAAACGAATAACTTAATAATATAAAAATGCTTTGTTATTTGTAATCCCAAGGGTTTCAACCACTTTGAAAGTACTTAAGAGGTTTGAATCTACTTAAAGTAAGGGCTTTATTGTATAGGTACTTTCAAAATTACGCACAACAAAGAAAAAAGGTTACATTAACACAAAAAATATAGGCAAGGCTTATTGCTTCGCTTATGTAACTCTATAATCATTTAAAATGCATATAAAAATTACTGTCCTTTCTCTTTTAATTAATACTACATAAAATTGTTTATAATAATAGCATTTGATTCAGATTTAATTGCTGAAAATGCTGTTCATGTAACAAGTTTTATAATGTTATATTATAAGATGTATTTGGAAACTTCACTTGAAAAAAAAAAACGTTTATTAACAAAAAACTAGGCAGGTAACCTATGCAATGCAGATATTACTTAAATTTAGTTATCGTAATAAAACTAATGAGCGTTATTAAGTAGTTAATAATATGCTTAGGTAAAATTTACATTTATTGCAAACGATGAAAGAAGAGATTGTCCTTAATATACTTTTACATATGAATTTTATTATATTATTATGTAGCCGACGTGCTTTCATGAATAGTTGTAATAGTGTCTATTGAAGTTGCTAATATTGGGGGTTCTAATCTCTTCCAAATTTAGTATTACTACCAGATTTCTTCACTGGTTTCTTAGGAAAGTCTGGAAAATTTATCGCTGTTACATCAAAATGGAAGTACAGTGTACATTACCCATAGTGAATAGCTTTTTTAAACGGATTTTATTTCTAGAACACGATGTCAATGTTAAATGGATATAAATACGATATATTTTTTACTTTCTCGTTCGTTATTTTATAGTGTTTGTATTTCTTGTTATTAAGGGTGGAGGTTCTGATGTTGGAGCTTTCGTGGGAGGACTCCTTGGAGCCGTAATCAAAGGACTTGCTAATCCACCAGGAGCTGTAAGCTCAGCAAAACATGCTTTTATAAACATATCATTGTCTGGTTTATTTCAATTTTCAGAAAGGCGCTGGAAAGCTAACCGGATCTATTGTTGGTCAAGTGTTACCAGCTTTAAGCGCACCAGTTAGTAAATGCATTATTTTTTTTAAACTAAATGATTATTTGTTTACATACTCTTAATTAGTATAGAGTAGTTTTAATAAAATTTAAAGAAATTTAGATGCATTTGATGTATATGTACGTAATAAAAACTTTTTTTGGACATGTCTATATAGATACACATTTAAAAGCTACATATGCATTGAATTACGAATACATATTAATCACAGCATAGATTTTCTACAATAAATTTCTTTTGGTAAAATGTACCTGCAATTTACTTGATAAAAATAAAACTCAGTATTTTAATAAAATTTGTATATCAAGAACACGAAGTAATGGTTTCGCCTTATGTTATTCCAAATGTCATTTAAATTAAATGCTACGCCTTTCTATAAGTAAGGAAAGTTTCACATATCCCAGTAACTAGAACATCCCACAACTACGTATTTATTTCTTCTTTTGCCCTTCTTTTTTTTTCCGCTTCTGTTTCTAATCTTTTAGATTTTAGAAGGTGTGCTACTATTTTATCCCTCAGCTTCTGTATTAACTTCTCTGTTCTGCTTCCTTTCTTAATACTTCGACATTTCTAACTTTTTCTCCATATATAATTATTATTACATTTTTATACCTTTTCATTTTGACGTATGACCCTAATTAATGATTGCTTAAATAACAAAACAGAGTCATCACAATCTTTTTCGAGATGTAAGCAACAGACAAAGGCAAGCAGGTAATTCCGATTGACACGTATATGTTTAGATTACATGTTAGTAATTCACGCTTCCGAAAATTTCGAACTCACAACCATTGTACAACTATTTAAGGATTTACTTTCTCTTAACTCTTGTAATGAATGTACCACGATTGTATAATCTACACTTAATAAGTTATTCACGTTGGGTTGTCTTGTAGTTCCTTCATCCAAAATTTATAATAATTATTATCCGAATTTAGCAGAAGGAATAATAATAATAATCTATCCATTAAACCTGTTTATCGTCACGTAATATTAACACACAAAAGTCAATGCCTTTCAGGATATTAATTAATGTACATCAGCATATATAATTAAGTATTTAGTATATTTCCGGCATCAGTTTCATTCTATGTAAAGAATGACAAGAAAATAATTAGCATCACATTGTAACATTGCAAAGTTTACGTGTTCATGACTGCACCACCATATACTAATTAATTATTCATCATTAAATTAAATTACTCATTATCTTACCACGCCACGACAAAAAGAGCTATTTAAATGATTACTTGACAATCAGAATATTTCACTTAAAAGGGGCAATCTTCAAGGGAACATGCTTTTCCATATACCTAATAGTAGCGTTATCTCCAGGGGTCACAATGACTCGTGATCTAATATAAAAGCAGTTACTACTATTGGGAGTAGTCTTTATCTTCTTCATTTTCGATTTTTATTTAATAGTTTCAAAAATAAAAATAGCATGAGGGCTTTTTGGAATAAACAGTGAAACGCGGTACGTATTTTTTTTATTTAAATATTTCCAAAATCCCTGAGGAGTCGTCAAGAAACGGAAAACTCGTTCAATATTATAAATAATTACTTATATATAAATTTATTAAACCCTCACTGTTTTTTAAACATTTTCTGGATGAAAGTATGAAAGGAACTTAGTTTTAAAAACTTATTTGTAACATTTTAGTGATTCCTTCAAAATCAAGATAATTTGTGTAGGGTAATATAAGAAAAATTTTAGAAAATACGGACTAATAGCACATGCCCCGCTCTAAATATTGTAAAATAGATAATTACTTCAATAANTGGGATTTTGAAGTGAATAATAAAAGTTGGTTAATTTCAACAAAAGTTTTGTAGGCAGCATATATTTAATTACCTGCCTATTCCACCATAGATGTATTTGTTATAAGCTGGAGTAAAATTTACATAAATAAACTAAATATTTATTATATGATACAATTATGTATTTTATTTTATTTCCTTTCTGCAAGCGTGAAGGATTTTGTAAAGATTTTAAGCCTAAGATGCAATTTCCCAATTGTGCAAACTGCATCAAAATTGGAACTATTTCTAAGTAAAATTTAGCAAAAAAATCTTAAATGGGATAATAATTTCTCTGTATTTGTTTATCTTATTTCCTAATATTCTGTCAAATGTAACGTTGTTTCGAACATATGAAGACAACGACTTAACTAATAAACAAACGAAGACGATCAATTGTTAATTAAATTGCAGCACTTAAATCACAGAGAATTTGTGTCAATTAACGCCGTATTGTTCGCGTAACATTACACGAACAAAGGAAAAAGAATAATTGGAAAGGTGTTTGTGGGGTAGGTGGTAATTATATACAGTAACTTTCTCTGTCATTCCAAATTAGGCAAATATTACGTTTCCTTGGCACATGTAATTATCGGAAATTCATCATCGTCAAAGAAAACGATGTCGACTGATAAGTTTTCGGATGAGCCAATCAATAACGCTTATTTCTGTCAACGGGGCCAATAATTTCCTTGTTGAGACATCATTATATAACACACCAGTTGCACCCAATAAATATAACATATGCACGAGTATTTCAAACTTTTTGGGTATTTCTCAATGAGGTAATAAGCAAAGCACCTACTTTTAAAGGCGGGTTGTTTCTTAATACATTCTTTTTTTAAACCAGTTTTTACGTTAATGCTGAAAATGGAGATAATGACCAGATGAGACGGCAACTTTTCCCAACGGACTTATATGATATAATTAATCAGAACAGTGCCACCGTAGTCAATGAACTTAAAATAAAATTTACAAACATTGCAAATTTTATATGTTTGATGAAAAAATGCATTGTTTATTTTAAAGTTTACTTGGTTACAATGTAACTAAACGTATGAAATTGTAATATCAACATTTTCCATATTATGTTCAAAGGTCAATTTATAATGGTCATTTACTCTCAAATAATTGCAGTTTTGATTACCTTATATTGTAGAATTGCAATTATTAGTTAATTTCAAATTCTCTCAACAATTCTACTATCATGAATTGCAACGTATAGATTTCTTACCTCTGCCTTGTTAGATAACAGTTATTATATCATTTTTATTTGGTAATAATCACTTGTTTTGAATGGACTTCCTTCACCTCTAACCTGCAATTACTTAAGAATATGAATACTAAAGATGTCAAGCTTGACTTACAGTCAGTCAAACTGTAAAGATTTCATTTAACATGTATTACCATATATATGTAATAATCATATGTAAGAGTTTTATCAGAATATGGAACCAATACCTACGATAAATATGCTTTTTGTAAGTGTATCAGATATTAAAATATAAACAAATAGTGATTATTAGTAATTATTTATTTATTTTATA